TGATCAGTGACCGCCAGTTAGCTAAACAACGCAACAAACGGGAAGACCGAGGATGAAAACTCAGTTCCCCGAAGTTCTAACTTGCGAAGAGGGCATAGAAACAGAATCAACATTCTGATACGGAGAATAAATAAGAGTATCCGGAGGACGCCCGTTATGCTCATTGGTAGCTATACCAGAAAGATTAGACTGGCGCTCTTCCCTAATGCGGGCCCGTACATCCCTCGATAACGAAGGACGAACGTAAATGCCCTTGCTAGGAAAGAAGCTCAGTTTTGGTGCACGTGATATCATTTGTCTCTGAGAAACACTAGCTGGTAATACAACTTAGGAGCTCTTTTTGATTGGCTTAGTTCTTACTTAAGCTACAGATACATGACTGTCCGAGTTGGTAAGGCACATTCTCGTCACTTTCCATGTCCTAGTGGGCTTCCTCAGGGAGGAGCACTTTCACCACTTCTTTTTATCATTTACACTGCCGAACTACCCAGAATCTTGAAAACGCATCCTAACGTTCATGTGCTAATGTACGCTGATGACATTAAAATTTTCGCTACTTACAATAACGAAAACCGCAGCGTTGTGAGGGGAGCCTTACAGCGTTCCATAGATGCCATGATTCGATGGTGCGCTGAGTGGGACATCTCTGTCAATGTTGCTAAGAGTTCCGTGCTCCACATTGGCACAGAACGAGAAGTTCTTTATGAACACAGTGGCACAGCTTTGGCCCTCAAAAGATCTATCAAAGATTTGGGAGTCCTCATTGATGACAGGTTGAAGCCTGATTTACAAATTACTTCCGTTACAGCACGGGCATTTTCAATCTTATATACAATATTTCGTGACATAAAGACAACTGATATAAAAATATTGCTAAAGCTTTACAAAGCTCTAGTAATCCCCGTGCTGGAATACGCAAGCCAAGTATGGTGCCCCTTTCTTAGAAAGCATAAACGATGCTTGGAGAGTGTTCAGAAAGTCTTTACTAGACTTTTATTTTTTCGATGTTTTTCTAGTTCAGCCTATCCCCATTTTCTTCCCACATATGAAGAACGCTTGAGATTACTAAAAATGGAGAGTCTGTCCTACCGTCGTACTGTTCATGATCTTACGCTTGCTTTCAGAATTTATAGGGGTGAAACAAGGTTAAAACCCTCCAAATACTGGGTGTTTAGACCCAACCACGGAAGGACTACCGGTTTTTCCGTTCATACTATTTCAGCAAATGGTGGGCGAAAACAATTTCGTTTTTTCCTTGGATATGATTTCTTTAGTCGTACACAAAAAATGCTTCAAAAACTACCTCGTGAAATTTTAGCTTCTAAAGATAGTAAAATTTTCAAACTCAAACTGAAAAAAGTAAATCTAAATGAAATACTTCAGGTTGAACAGAGCTTATGACATCTATAATGTACGTGGATATGTGTCGTTCATTCCAATGGTCATCCTAACTTCTTCATGATCACTGCTCGTCCTGCCTTTATTTATGCGTTTCACTTAACTCGAGTGCACGGAGTTTTTAAACTACAAACTCAATTTCCATTGCGACAACTTGTGTTTTTTTCTTAGTAACATTTTCTTTTTACATGTCTTACTAATCCATGTTTTGTCATTATGGTAATTCAGGTCTAAGCAATTTGCCCAATTCTATCAGTGCAGCTTGTTGACTTGCTCTAGTTGATACACAAAAAGTGAAACTCATTGATATTTTCTCGGAGTCATTGGACTCTCCCCGGAATCATTTGGGCAAGGTTCTTTAGTACTATTTCATCAACCGAGCCCCGCTATTTTAGCAAGAGCATTTTCTGCTGGCAAACGAGGTGGTATGATTACCACTCCATAGATTACACTAGCTTAATATGATCTTACTCACATAGAGTCATTCATTCTCTACAATCCTTACTGCTATCCATTTGAGTCACTGCACTCTCCTCGGCATACTGGTTTGGTGAGATTAGACAGTTTATCAACCATCAAACCGTTTGCTTGTTTGAATCAAAATTTTTGCTGGCAAAAAAAGGGGGCATGGGTACCATCTCCATGAAACACACTAATTCAGTTCTGTTGACTACAGTCTTAGAGCAGTCACAAACAGGCTTTCATCACACTTCCAATAATCTAATCCGAATGCTAGACCCAAATTACATAACGAATTATCGTGGTATTAGAGTATGAGCAACTGTGTATTTTTGTCTTTTTAATGGAACGCCTAGAGCGTATGTAATAAATAAATAAATAAATAAACTTTGAGAAGTCTTGGTTTTTGAGATGTCTTTCTACCCATACGGTAGACGGAGCAAGGAAGGCATCCTATATTGAGAAAATCCATGGTGACAGAACACAATTACGATCATGAAAAGCATTCTGAGAGGCAGTCGAACTTTGAAATTCTGGCACATAAGCGATAACAACAGATCTTTTCATTTCAGAATCAGATTCAGAAACGGAAGAAGTGTCTTTATTTTTCAACTCACAATTTTCCTTCTTTAATTTTTGGTTTTCGCTGATGAGGGCGCACATCCTTTGATTTAGCTCTGTGACCTCCTTCTTGGTGTCGAGCAGATCTCAATCATCAGCTTCAAATAATCTGGTATCGACTCCTGAGACATAATTCCCTTGAGTCGGTCCGTGACGGGTTAAACGAGTGAAGTAGCTTCAAATTGCCCTCTTTTGACAGGAACTGATGAAGACCGAAATGGTGAAACCATATAGATCAGCAGGCGATCAGATCAATAATCGATAGTACGAGGGAGCAGTCGCGGAAATTGGGGCCACTGAAGTAGCAGAATTTGGACAAAGTCGGCTAATCGGAGCAGAAGGGGCACCAGCAAGGAAAAGCGGAGGCCTACGGACGACAGAACACCAAAGCGAAGTAGAAAAATGGCCCAGAATACGGTTAAAACGTAGAAAGGATCGGTCGGCAGGGACGGAGATGGGTGCCAGGCCGGCGGCACGGTGTACACTCATGTGAGAATGATTATTGCTCTTGATTATAGAAGTGGCGAAATAAGTTCGCATATTTGGGCAGTAACGGTGGTCATATCACAGCAGGTCATACTTAGGCTTTGGCCATACTTCGCCCGTGTTGCCGATGTTTCCAATGTTGCCAGTGTTGAAAGTGTTGCCGGTGTTGAAAGTGTTGAAAGTGTTACCGGTGTTGAAAGTGTTGCCAGTGTTGAAAGTGTTGAAAGTGTTGCCGGTGTTGAAAGTGTTGAACGGAGATCATCAGTCTAGCATATTCATTCTTTCTCGAACGATCTCACCGGCTGGTGAATACGTTGGAAATGGAATTGCTGAGAAATGAAACTGAAAGGAGATGGGGAATGTTTTCGCATGCAAAAGATCCTCAAACAAACTTTTTGAAAAGTGGACGGCTTGTCTGGAATAGGCAATCTCCAATATTTGAGAAAGCTGACGTCTGAGTAGTGATTCGTTTTAGTTCGAATCCTGCATCGCTTGCGATTAGTGAGTAAAGGACCTAAGTGAGGTCTGCAGCGTTTTCAAATATTAGAGATTGCCTCTTTTAGACAAGCCGTCCACTTTCCAAAAAGTTTGTTTGAGGATCTTTTGCATGCGAAAACATTCCCCATCTCCTTTCAGTTTCATTTCTCAGCAATTCCATTTCCAACGTATTCACCAGCCGGTGAGATCGTTCGAGAAAGAATGAATATGCTAGACTGATGATCTCCGTTCAACACTTTCAACACCGGCAACACTTTCAACACTTTCAACACTGGCAACACTTTCAACACCGGTAACACTTTCAACACTTTCAACACCGGCAACACTTTCAACACTGGCAACACTGGAAACATCGGCAACACGGGCAAAGTATGGCCAAAGCCTTAAGCATGACCTTCATGGTAATCAGCAAAAGTGAAAGAGGTGCTGATTCTATCGGCACACTGCCGCCGGAGCAAAAAGAGAGACAGCACATAACAGAAACATCAAGTTACTTCTTTTCGCAAATTTTTCTTCTTATCTGGATAGAGTACTGGTCGTTGGTGACCGGCACGTATTGCTTTGACTGTGTTGAGATCCGCGAAGCATGAGCGGGCGTAGCGACAGCAGAAGGCAAATGAATGTAGAGAGGAGAACTTCAATAAAAATGATGTGATTAGTGTACTGAATATGACAGTATAGTATGGAGTTGAACTCTGGAATATATCCAATGGGCGCGATCTTCTCGTTTGAAAGCGAAGCTGGCAGATCCTCATTTTTGGAGACAGCTGTCTCAACTACATCAGTTACCGGAGGCGTCATGACCTGGAAAGACGCCTAGTTATGAGCGGAGAAGACCTCACTATATCGGTCATCACTCCTATCCGACTTTTTGCGTCCTTTTGTCATTTCGTCTGCCGAATTGCCCTGCGGTGAATTTATCGCTTCTTTTTTCGTCACACAGTAGCCATCATCAAGGTTTGGAATGACTGGATCCGAACTTCTTGTGTGGTTTGTCCAGAGCGTATAGTATACCGTTCTCAACACTGAACACTCTGGAATCAGCATTAGGCTCTTCTAGTCGACTGATCTATAGCGAAAGTTTGCCCTTTGTTTTTGTTCCTCAATGACGAAGCAAAAACCTTCCTGTTCTTCATTAGCTCTACTTCTATCTCGCATTCCCTTGTACAATCTTCTAAGGTAATGAACGTTTCAGCATTACCAATAGTACGAAAAAAGTTTATCTCTTCCTTGTATGCTTCCAGTTCCTTCACCATTAGTTTCTTCGTTACTTTCGAGCTCTCGCTTGTGTAGAGCTTTTCTAGTGCATTGATTTTTGATTGTAGCGAATGCGTTGCCCTTTTGATTTCCTTGGCATAAGTCGCCAGCACGTCCACGTTGCGAACGCACATCTTCTGTCGTTCCTGCTCACCTTCTGGAAATGTGCTTTTCTTACTGTGAAAAGCGTGCTTCTGCATAGCTTCGCAAGATCCTTGATAGAACCTCGCATGGAAAAGAGGAATCACTTTGCAACGAAGTGAATATTATCGACCTTACTGATGGCCGATACACCAAATGTTTCGATGGTCTCTTGGCCGTACTGTGGCCTGAGGCGAGTTAGCGCCTGATTAGGAGTATTTGACTCTAGTATTATACAAAACGCACGTGTTCTAGATTTATGAGCTGCGCTGCACATTGTAAGCCTACCACAAAAACTACAAATGCTTATTCGTGAATTGCTGCATTGTCAAGGGAGACTTCGTTTTCAAGATTCTCAAATGTCACCTGCTGGGTGGGCCCTGGCCCGGTGCAGTCACTTTATAGCGTCAAGTCAAGTGCACTGACTGCACTGCACAAATATTTGAAAATTACAGCGATGAAAACTTCAGCTGGCTTGTTTTTTCTCAACGCTCATTGCTACAATGATTCCTTACGCCATACGGATGTAGCGAAATGAGAGGTATGTTTCTTTTGAAGTTAGTTAAGTCTTGAAGATAAGGTTTCAAAGTTTTGTTAGAGTTCTTTTTGCTGCAGCTGTCATATCTCGTTTTCGAAATAGGATTTTGCGGCAAATTTTCGTAGAAATATGCTGCTCGAAGCTCTCTAGGTTTATTTAATGTTGCATTAGCTTTACAGATTATTAGTAGACATGATTAGTAATCGTCGGTCACTCTCCACGCGTCAGTCAAACGGCAAAAAACGCGTGGATATCGTGTATAGATCGAAATGGATTACAAACAACTTCGTCGTTGGTGATCCACTAGGAGCAGGTGGGTGCCGAAATAAGAAGCTGTCTAAATTTATGCTATTTTTCCTCAAGGTTCGTTCGGAAAGGTATGGACAGTTGAATGCCGAAAAAAGCCGGCACATTTGTTCGCCTTGAAAGTTCCAGCACCAGGATTTAGTCCAAAGCATATAGCTATGGAGCTGAAGGTTTGCATTTGAGTTTTTTTGTTTTTTTCTTTTATCAATAGGAACTATGCTGAAGCGATTCTTCATTTTTGCGATTTCCTTTTCTTGGCAGTTTACGCTTTTAAACTAAGTTTCCGCAACAAAGCTTTCCTGGCTCGCTTTGACTAGGCGACATTAATGTTCTTCGTTCTTCTTTAGGTTATGCGAGCGGTATCTGGCGGACCTAATGTTGTCAAGTTTATCGCTGCCTATCGTGAATTAGATCGAGTCTTCGTTGTGATGAATCTTTTCCCACATGATGATATTTTTGTACGTGATCCTTACTTACCTGCATTTACTTTTGAGAAACGCATATCTACCGTTACAGAGCCTTATTCACAAAATGCCTCTCGATGAGACATTGCAGTACATGCGAAATCTTTTCCTTGCATTACATCATATACATCGATATCGTGTAATACATAGAGATGTAAAGCCAGCAAACTTCTTGTATAATAGAGCCGCACGTCGGTGAGTCACTATATTTTTTTCCTTCTTGGTTCTATTGGCAAGTGTTGTGCAAGTTTACGCTAAGGGATCGGACATATCGTGCTTTCCCCAGAATTATTTTCATAGTTATTATCAGTGGCTGCCTTTCGATCATTTTACTACGTCAAGTTCGAATAAGCGCTTCAAATTTGCTCAACGTGTTAAGGGCCGGGCATACTTCACGCGATTTCTGCCGCGACGCGATTTGGCAGTTCGCCAGAAGTCTTCAGATCCAACACTAGCAAACTGCACATGCCAGTGTGTATAACTTACGTAGATTGACAAAATGCCCTATCTTATATACATGTAGGATGTGCCTACAGTGAGTTATGGACAGTTGGAATATTGCCAAATCGCATCGCGACTGAAATCGCGTGAAGTATGCCTGACCCTTTAGGACAATTGAAAGGCAGCCACGTTGATGGCTGTTGGAACAATTCTGGGAAATGGACTATACATTACCGCTGTTACCAAGCCAGTGTTAACTCCGTTATCGTTGTTTATTGCAACCGTTTCTTGTCTTTGCTACTAGTCTTTCCCTTCAAATGGACAGTGATCGGTCGGAAATTCTAATTTGTTTGCTCGCGGTACCGCCAACAGTTGCCTGTGTTTGTACTACCTTTCTGATGAAAAGAGAAAGATAACCACAATTTGACGAGATTACAAGCCGAGTCAGATTGCAAAGCCGAATTCGTGCCTTCAAAGCGGATGACCGGTAGCAAAGGCAAGAATGGCTTGCGTGAATAACAGTAGTAGTGGTAATACTGGTAGCAGCGTTAATTGATGGCCGAAGCTTAAAAGTACGCTTTGCTCGTGATATCCCGTTTAGGTATCTTCTGGTTGATTTTGGTTTATCACACTTCGTGTCGCCAAGCAAACGAAAATCATCAAATACGTCACCCTCATTGAAAGAAAATGTTGTAAATAGCAGCCCTATTGTACCACCACCTCCGGTATGTATCTTTTTCCTCACATAATTTTTGATAGTTTCCGAGCATATTCTTTCTCTGCTGAGATCTAAGTGCATGAAATTTTGAACAAAACATGTCAGTTCTAAGACTCGCTTATTTTACTTATTCTCAGTCAATGTTGCACGTTCCTCCGAGTTTTGATACTATGAATTCTATGTGGATGCAGATTTAAGGATTATTGGGTTTTTATTCAGAAACGCAGTAAACGCCTGAGCGAGGACGTGCTCATGCCCAATAGGCCCACTTTGATCAAACATCCGAAATGCGGATGCCCGAATTTTGCTTCAATCTGTGATACATGTAGAGACACTCCTCTGCGGCGTGTTAACAAGGTGTGGTGATACTTATACCTTCCATAAATTACTACTCTTTATTCTGTGAAATGTTTGTAGGCAGGTACTCCTGGTTATCGAGCTCCAGAAGTTTTGTTTCGTTTCGAGGAACAAACCACTGCGATCGATGTTTATGCAGCTGGTGTAACGATGTTGTCATTTCTTTTAAAGAAGTTAGTTTCAACTTTTTTGATCTGATTAATTAGGCGGGACATGTGGTAACAGTTATATTTAACACTTGGTGTGGAAGAAAATTTAGAGGATCTTGAATCTTATCTTGTAATTTCTCAGCTTATTACACAACTCTACCGCTTTACAGGCACCCAGTGTTCCGACCAAATAATGATTTTGAAGCTTTGACGCAAATGGCAACCTTTTTGGGAAGTTCTGCTTTGGTCCAGGTGACGTTCATTTACTAATCTGCTGACCCTACGTCTTGCTTTTGATCCCCTAAACTATGTCGATTTCTTTGATTTCAGGCAGCAGCTGAAGGCGGTGTGAACTTTCTTTTTGACCCACCAATGTCTGGTATGGATATGGTCAAACTAGTAAGTGTATAGGGTATCGTGTATCGTTTCCTTGCTACAAATTCTCACTGTCAAGTGCTTCTCTTGCTCACTTGTTCAAAAATATAAATTGTCAACTTCTATCCTGATACCTACAGGGCCTATCGTTTGCAGTGTCAGGCGCACCAGCACCTCCACTCCTGCGCGGGGCTCTGCACCTCTTCCGCGAACATGCTCTTTAATCATATCCAGCTGAGGCTCCACCATTCTCACGCTCGCGGTGAAAAAGTGATCAGAGAACATGTTTGCGGAAGAGTTGCAGAGGTCAGGCGAAGCAGCCGCGCAGGAGCGGAGATGCTGGTGCTCCCGACACTGCAGTTGATACCCTGTAGCATAATTTGCTTCTAGATATATCGTCAATCATTCTTGGCATGCTTACAGGTCAAGAACTTTTCCAAAGATATTCGCGAAGCTGATGACTGTAAGCCGGGGTGTCGAACATGCATGGCTTTGATATATCATAACAATTCCGGATTTTGCTTCTGTGAGTTACAATCTGATATTCATTTCCTTTAAAATTTGGTGTCGTTTCTGTTAGAGTTATCAGGATTCACTGCAGCTATCACCCCATTTGTCTAAATTCATAAACAACTCAAAAGCAGTGTTAGGGATCGTTTAGACCGCACCGGAGTCCGTCCAAACCCGCCCGAATACGTCCAAATCCGCCCAAACCCGCCCGAATACGTCCAAATCCGCTCAAACCCGCCCAAATACGTCCGAATCCGCCCGAACCCGCCTGAATGTTGGAACTGCCAAAGCGCAGCGGATATGCGGCAAGTTGGCATATTGGAGCACGCGTGGAATATGCGCGCGTAGTGCATAAATCTTAGTCACACGTAGCTCGACGTTAATACCGATCTTCTTTTTTAACTACTCCGATATCAGAAGGATAAATTGCACGCGTGCTTCAATATGCCAATTTGCATGCAACCTGCTGCGCTTTGGCAGTTCAGGCGGGTTTGGACGTATTTGGGCGGGTCTGGGGTTTTGGACGTATTCGTGCGGGTTTCGGCGCGGTCTAAACAATCCCTTAGGTAGGCCTCCAAGCACACCATACCAACCTCAGCCTCCAGTTATGCGCTCAGTCGGGAAAACGCGTTTCAAAGCTGCTACCCCTCCCCCTGATGGAGGGTGAGCTTGGGGCTACAGTACCCTGATAGAGGTCCATAGCTGTAGATAGTTAAGTAATTGAAATAAGAAATGTTCAGGCAAGCGGTCGGAAAGCGATTCCATTGACAAATTGACGGGAAATGAGCGTATCGCATTTGAAGTGCTCACTCATTGTTTGGATCCTAGTCCTTCTCGCCGTTATACAGCCCGCATGCTCGCCGATTTAATAGGTGAACCATTGGAAAAGCTGAACACATAGTGGGGGCCTGTTTTATGCATGTTTTTTTGTTGATATTTTCATCTTGTTGTGTTTTCGTTCTATTATATCATGCCTTCATGTGCTTTCATTCTTACTGTGTTATTAGGTCGCCTATACTTTCTATTATTGTTAACGATTGTAAAAGGGATCACGTCTAGGTAAGTAAGATGAATTGTTACATTGTTAATTCCAGTGTGTTATGTGAGTTGTTTTATTAGGTTTAATAATGGCTTTTGCCGAGTCTAATCAAATCATTTACAAATGCTCAGATATCATGTTCTAAGCTGTACCACATTGTACGAACACTTTGGGTAAAGAATAAAATTCACAGTTTCCGGGCCAAATGTGTATTTGATATTTAGGCCATCACTTAGCTCATTCCTACTTTCGCAGTCTACTAGATTCGTAACCTGTTTGAATTTTTTATAGCATGTATGACTGCTGTTTCATAATTTACACTGCTTATCGCATGGTGTCGCTCTATTCTATTTTAAAGGCATGGTATCTTGATTCTTGAATATGTGATTACGTCCTATGCGTTAAAAGTAAAAGAAAAATGTTCCGTCTAAAATTTCCTTAGACATCAAGTACGCTTGCTTTGGAAAGTCGATGTTCTGCGTAACGCGAGAGCGACAACAAGTTGGGTGGTTATCTCGAAAGACCATGGCTTGTCAGTTCTTAAAGATTTAGAAGTTGCTATTTATCACCTCGGTAGCCTGAGCAGCCTCGCACCTGCTAAGCGTTCATAGGTGCTTGGTCAAAATTCCACTTCTTTTCGGGTGGAGGACATCGTGTCGCCGAATTTGGAATAGTCCCGCGCGGATTCCCTGCAGGAACGCATGTCCGCGCATGTACAAGGGTGTGTTTGTCGCAAATGACCGCGGGGACCGCCCTTTTTCGGCGACCTAATGTCCTCCACCCCTTCTTTTCTTACTCCTACTGCACTGTTTAATTTTTCTGTATAGGTACAGCCCAGCTAATGGATCCAGAGTTTCCCACTTTTCAATTATTCTGGGTTGATACCCAGGACCCGGCACAGATCTCTGAAGGCCGGGACTTCGTTTTTGGAGCAAAAAGCAAAGGAGATATCGTTTTTGACCTGTCGGGCTGAGCACCAAGAGTAAGCGCAATTTAGTTCGACACAAGCTTTCCGGACAGGTTATCACATGATTGACATACTCTATCATGTATGGCGAAAAGTGCGCACTTGAAAGCAAGGCTAAAATAAACAAATTGCTAGAAAATTACAGCGCACACAGAATCATATGCCAATAAAATTGAACTGCATACTTACAGTTAGAAAATTATTTACAAAAGATTTATGCAAAAAGATTTGAGAATTTATGTGGTGTTACCTTTTCCAAAATTAACCCGTCTCCAGACGGTCGCCAAACGCTTTGAGATCGTCTGAAGCCACTGGCGTACCGAGGTGGAGGGGCGGGAAAAGTGGGTCGCGAAATTTTTGAAAGTTACTTACATGAGTCATAAAAATGTGCGTTAGACTTTATACTTGTAAGTAATTAAAATAATTTTTAAAAAATTTTCAAAATTCAATATATCTCAATAAATTCGGAGTTCGTGGCTGATGCCACGCACCTTCATTAGAAAAAATTTTTTGTCCCTCCCCCCCCCCCGAGCCGAAATCCTGGGTACGCCACTGTCTGGAGCATATATTTCTGTCACTTCACATAAGTTTTGGATTTTTCTATTATGGACGGATTCCCCGGTCAAAAATCTACCCCTCAGCTTGAAGACATTTTCATATCATTGCCTTTGCTTTGTTTTTTGCCTCAATTTCTTCATAAATATCTTTGTCAAATATCGCTCTCCAATGCCAAACTCTTGCGCATGCGTAGTATCCAGCTCCAATTTTGATTTCACTCTCATCTCACAATTTTTTCTCTCAGACTAGTAAATCTTTCTTGTTTTCATCTTCTCCTAGTAGGTAGGTCAAAGGGGACTTCGTAAAACTTCTGAAAGTCAGGAGAGACTTCGTTTTCAGGAACCCTAGAAACCGACTCGTGGCGGGCCCTGTTGATACCGCACACGTCGGAAATCTGCGCAGTCTTAGTTTGCGGGACACCCACCATCGTCGGACTTTGCAGTAGGAATATGAGAAGGCCCACCTTTGTGCTTTAGCGGAATACGATGTGAAAATGAAAGATCGATGGGGCGGTCGTATCAAGAGAAGAACAGACGATGGACGTTGGAAACACTAGAGCAGGTACCTCGCAAGACAAAAGTCTTCGAGGAACCACCAATGAGATGGGCAGAGGTATAGGCGATTCGTAGCACTCAAACACTGCGGACCTATCTGCGTCTCTGTGATTTAGCGCTCTTTCGTTTCTCTTACCATCTGCTGCCTCTCCCATGCACGAGCTATCTTGCTCGGACGCAAGGGCGCTCAGTCTTTGCGTATTTTGAATCGCCGGTATGAAAGGACTAGCCGCGTAAATCAGCTAGATACAACCTCTACACAAGTTTGTTGCGAACCCCCCCCCCCGCTAACGAAATAATCACTGATGAATCTGGTGGGCTTAACTATGTCTACATAAGCTTAAGAAGTCAAGGTTGAATTTTGCTCTGAACAGTGACAAAATTCAACTCTGCTAGAAACAACAAATCCAATGAGAAAGGCAACATGTAGACAAAACTGCAAATGTTTCTTTTCCTGTGAGTTTCGTACACTACTCTGTCTCTGTGACCATGCGCCAAGATAAGAGACAATTTAGACATTTATTCCAAAAATTCATTTTAACCAGTATCACTGTTTGCTTTGAGTGCTCCGTGCCAACTGAGTCGAATCCACAATCATCAGTATACGATCTCATTGTATACTGACCCCATCGGCCATTATTGATGGCGATGAGCGCTAAACTACGGTTTTTGTGGTGATCGACATTCCTGCGATTAATTTTCATAAAATTCGAAGGTCAGAAGTCCTTACGTCCATGTTTCGTTCTTTCCAGTAGATTTTTGCTGCTACATACTTGCGACATCGCATAACGACATAGATTGCAAGTCCTTGTGATGCCGTGAAAAATATCTGAAATAATTACTTAAAAATTACAGATGGAGAATTTTTCTGTGCTTATAATTTTGGGCTGTTTATAGTAACTTCTAATTTTTCTTCTAGAAAAAATCAAGCTTACTTTGAGCAAAAGTTGAATACCAAAAAATTTGGAGTGGAAAAAACGAACATGAGTATTGCAGCATACGAGACGAATTTATGAGCTTGCATCCTAGTCAATTCAAAATTTTTTTAAACAAACATGAAAATTTGCTGCAACTTTTTCTTATTATTTACTGAGTGTGTAACATACCTGAAATACCGTCCATCCCAAGTCGTATTTTATGTTTCCAAAAAGTTCTCGATGCAAATCTAACGATGCGGCAATCAATGTAATCACTGTGAAAATCACGTTCAATGCGAAGTTCGTCAAATAGAACACCAAAAACGGACTGAAAATGGATGAGTTGGAAATGAATGATGGTAAAGGAACGCACGAAATTTACCTGAAGAACAGTTTTTCCCTGTAGATAGAGTAAAACAATAGAATATGACACGGTATACCAACGACAAAGGCAAAAATCAGGTCAACTGAAATAATAAAAAGTTGTAATGGCCTAGACCATGAATTTATATCAAAAGTATGAAAATTTTCTTTCTGTTTTATAAGATCGGACGCTATCATTAAGAAATCAATTTTTGAACGCAATAAATTAGGAAATTTTTGTAGTTAGGGGGTGAAAAAAATCTGAATACAATTTTTTCTGATGAACAGAAACCACTCTTGAACTTCTTTGAATTGATTCAAATTTCACATGCAACTTTAAAGCCCAAAAAAGGGGCGTGGCGGAGGCTGTATCAAAAAAATTTTACGTATACTTTTGCGAAATCCATGAAGTTTTGTCATCATAATAATGAAATGAAGCACCAGTGGCATGCCGAGCCCCCCGCCCCCCCCCCCCCCTCCTCCCTTTCCCGAGAATGGGTCGCGAAATTTTTGAAAGCTACTTATATGGGTCATAAAAATGCGCAAAATGACATGTTTATACTTGCTAATAGTTGGAATATTTTTTAAAATTTTCTTTCAGAAATTTAGATTAGCCTTGTAAAAAAAATTCTCGTTTTCTTGAAAATTTTCCCCTTCCTAGAATTTCGGGGTTAGGAGCGGGCAAAGTTTTTGGGAAGCATTCAAAAAATTTTTTTGGAGTGCCGTGGCTACCATGCATCTTCATTCTAAAAAAATTCTTTGTCGCCTTCCCCCCTCCCCCCCCCCTCCGCCTCCCTACCGAACGGAAATCCTGGATACGCCACTGTGAAGTACGTATTGCAAAATAGTCTGTTTAAAATGTTCGCGTATCCTCTGTATAGGAGGGGGGGGGCTCGACTGAAGGATGCGCATAAGTTTATATTAAGTCATTATCAAAAACTCTTAATTATAACCGTAAATTAAGGGTATGCATTTTTTTAGAAGGTACTTATAAATTAATGAATAAATATTCTAAAGTTCGCAAAAATCCCTTCCCCTCTCCCACCCCCCCCCCCCCCTCCCTCCCCCCACCTCAGGTCCTAGAGCGAGCAGCAGCTTATTTTTTGCGTAGTTTTGTGATGCTCATGCTATTACTCACCAAACTCCAAATGATCGAGGAATGGATTTCGTCCCATGCCTCGACTGTGATAGAAAGTGTAAGTTATGCAAAAAGCGATCGTGACAGCAAATCCAATAACACCAGCAATATAGGCCCCAACCTGAAATAAGAACAATTTGTACCAGGGTAGAGATAATATAGATTAGCAGTACACTACCTTTACATGAATATTAGTGCCAAATAATCGGAACGCTTTGTCATTTTCTCGAAATGTGACGATATCTGTACCATCCATTCTAAAAAGCACTAGATTCATAAAAATGACCTAAACAAAGATAAAACTTGAATGATACAGGCCTAACACTGCCAAATCCTATCCAAGAAAAGTAGAATTAAATGGCAAGAATACTCTCGTAGTAAACACCTGGTATTTTGCATGATAAATCATAATTTTGTAGTTTGATACCATTCCGTTACCACAGACCCAGAATTTTAACCTCAGAATTCAAGGTCTTTGGTTAAGAGGGTGATCTGGCCTGCTGATTGCGGTATTGGTCGCAGTTGGTTCGGCAGTGCCTTTTTTTGTAAGGCTAGGGTAGCATACGGGAGGCAGTCGAGATTACAGAATTTAGTGAATTTTTTTGCATAGGGAATTTGTAATTTATGGATTTTGATGGATATAATTTTGGATAGAATCATATTGTAGTTTGGTGCCATTCCAGTCCCCCACGTCGAAATAGTAGAACCTCGGCTTGCGTAAAAACGTTATAAATTATAAAATATGTTAATTACTGAAATGAGACACCTATATCTCAGACTACCACACTTTCACAGGACTTCCGCAGGACAAACAAAATTTGCAGCGGTTCCGCAGAATTTCGTTCACTACTGCAAAAATGGAAACGCTGAAAATGACATCTTCCGCAGGGTTTTCACATCAGACTGGTTGAAAACGGGAACTTCCACAAAACTTTTTACAAAGCGCCGCGGAACTTCCGAAAAGTGCCAGCAGTTCCGCAGCACTTTGACATGCCAGTACTTCCGCAGGCTTTTGAGTGTGTTGTCTCTTACAATGTTGCCTCGCCAACAACTAGACCAAAATTTTGCTGGAGTTTGCAGAAAATCCCTACTCCCCCCCCCCCCCCCCCCACCTCCGCCAGGAATTTGGCTTGAACGGCTCTGCACCTTCCACTTGCCCAATTTTCCTAACTAACGACCCAATGACGGCGGCTAATATCACTTGAAAAGAATTCGGTCGTCAAACGGGTTCCACTTCAAAATGCACGTAATTTTGCACGAAATTGCTTCTTCCGACTCTTCCTCGTTAAACTTTCTGCTATCGTCACTTTTCTGCTGTTGCTAGCAAGTTTTCTGCATCATTGATGTTGATGAAGTTTGCGAATGTCGAAAAAGCAACAGCTGAAAGGGACGCGCTGTAAAGTACGGGCTTTTTGCGCGTACCGGTCGTTTTATGCAGTGAATTGATGATAAGTGGAAGTTTTGAATGATGATAGAGTAGATGACGTGATCGATTTGCAGATGAAGTGAAACAAAATGGAAAAAAATTAGTGAAGTGAAAACTCACTTAGACTCAAATTGAGCATAGTCGACATCTTCTTCGTGTATAATTGTGCGGAAAAACTTCTTGATACTTTCCACCTCTGAAATATTTCATGCGTTTTGAGGTAACCTTCGATTCATCTGGCTTAAGCTGGAAGGCGGGGCCTTGCGACCTAACTGAGGCCGCTCGCGCCCGCGACGCAGTCTGCGTCTCTCCCGCGCGTGTACTCGGTGATCATTACCCAGCCTTACTTAGGTCACGAAGCCCCGCCTTTCAACGCCAAACAGTTTGATTAAAGGGTAGCATTTTCTGCAAGAAGGAAAATTTTAATGGTCAAAGATCATTAAAAAATTCATCATCTATTTTTTCCTTGAACCATTTTAGTCGGGGAATATTGTACTTTGTCACTTATCCCCTAAGTAAAGGGTAGTTACCCCCCCCCCCCCTCCCCTTCTTTTTTTCAACTATTCTGACCAGGTGATTTGAATCATGAACTATAAATGAAAAGTAGAGCCGCTCAATTACGAGAATCTAAAACATTTTTGGTCAGAAATATTAACAACCCCATGCCTTCCCTAGTGACGTTCCACAATATTTTTGCTTTTGGGATTTGGAAGGAGTCGAAAGAAAGATTTTTTTACAAAGCTGGTTAAATTTTAAAAAAATTCAAAACATTGCTATAATCATTTACTCGTGAAAACAAGTAAATTGCGCAGTTTTATAGCTTATGTAGGTAACTCTCAAAGTTTAGCGAATCATTCTCCCCCCCCCCACTCCCATTGCCTCACCATCTTATCGTTAGGAGGTTACTGCGGCGTTTCAAGGTAGAATGTCCCCAAAAAATGTTTTCCCTGAAGGGATTGACAAATTTCATTCAAATGATGGCACGTTAATTATAAAAGTTCTAAACAAATCAGAATGTTCTTCAGATTTTTTTACGAGATTATGACCACAAATTTTGTAGAAAAGGGGATATGGTGGAGCCACGCCTTCAGCAATATATGGCTAACTTGAATCTTCAAAATTGTTATCATTCAATTCAATTATTCACATAATAACAAGACAATTCGCAATTTTATAAACCCTTCCTTACCACTCTCCCTTCTCTCCGTCCCCCCCCCCCACCCCTTCCCTCCCTCCCCCCCCCCTCTCCTCGTCAGTGTAGGGCTAGAAAGTCTGAGAGCTGGTAAAGGGAAAATTTTCGTTAGAACCCTTTGTTATCTCTTTCCTGTTTCACTATGAGGGCGAAAAAAATTGATGGGGCTGAAGTCAGTTCATTTTTAGACTTGAGGAAGTACCATATAGGATGCTTCTTCGAAAAAATTATGTTGAGGACTTTCTACCTTCACAGTAGTTTTTTTTACAATTTAACCTTTTTGTATAACACCTTTTAACGTAAAAAGTAAAATGTTTCACAACAAACCTGGTTTTGACGTCCAATTCACAAACGACGTCATCGTGAGGTTCAAAACCTGCAAGTTCAAACCATTATGTGACGTATGCCGAAAATAGTTGGAACACGTTGCGGAAACTCGTCTTCTTTGGACAAATAAGCTAAGGATTTTCGCGAATGGCGCCGTGTAATGCCATGTCGGACCGGCTCTATTAGAAGCACGAGGCTACTTGATCTTCTGGACGAGTTTGCACGCGAGGAAGATGAAGGTTATGATCAGATGAGTATAAAGTAACATACATTAGAGGAAATACCTAGTACACGTAGTAAAGATAATAAATATCTAATTATAAAGGAGCCATGTACATATTTACAGTGCGAAGTACATAGTTAAAAGTGGCAGCTATTCAAATGTTTCAAAAGTACAACATTTGACTTAAGGTTGAGTTTTCACAGACGGTAGCACAAGAGCTACCCCAAGTACAAGTCCACATTTCCATAAGAACATATATAAATGTGGAAAATCACGTGTTCTGGTTCCTGGTGCTATCAAAACCCCTTCCCATAGCTAAAAATCAAAAATGAAGAATAGTTTTATAGGGGTGTGGTAGGCTTTCAAAAAAATCACTGTAAGGCACGCGCCATACTTGATCCGCTTAATCGACTAGATCCGCTTGATTCGCTTCGTCATTGGTCAGTTCAGTGAGCTGACCAATAGCGAAACAGTTGCCCATTTGATCCGTTTGATCCACTTCACTATTGGTTAGTTCACGGAATTGACCAATAAAACGGATCAAGCATGGCGCGTGTCTGAGCGTATAAACATCGGAAAATCTTCTCGAGAAGGTAAGGAAGGTGGCCGGGTCAACCCGTCTTAAAAAAATTTCATAGGTCATGCTTCAAAAAACAGAAAATATTATATCTCGATTTCTGTAGTATAAAAAATGATCTAATGAGAAAGATCATTTGAAAACCTCTTTGCCTTTCAAGAATGGAAACGATATTGATAATATTTAATTAAATCTATATGATATCGAAAAGCAAAGATAAAAAAGACTGTAAACGTTCCAGGCAAGCAAAGGTTTTAGAAGATTTGCTAGTAATCTACCGACGCAGAAAATATATACATGTGTAGCGGCGCGGTCAGAGAGATAAATAACATGGATTTCAGATAGACGCAGACAGCTAAACAGCGCCACTAGCCACAACTTATACACCCTTGAGTCTTCAGCTGGTCAAATACAATGTAATAACTATAACATATGTACTAATTATGTGCACTTCGCTCTAGTTCTAGACTGTTCTATCTGTTGACATAAAGTACAACGTTTTTAGTATTTATACAATTTATACTATTTTTGGATATTCAAAAAATATACAAAAATAAACAGGAATCTTTCAGTCTCTTCTTCTTGAGAGATTCTAGAAGAATTCTCAACATCTAATCAATAAGTTTGATTAACAGTCTATGAAAAAAAGCAGGAATTTTTTTTATACTACTGGCTTGGCGGCGGAAGGCGGGACTTCGTGACCTAATTAATACTAGATAATGATCAGAGAGCAGGCGCGCAAGAGAGAGACGCAGACTGCGTCGCGGGCGCGAGCGGCCTTGATTAGGTCGCAAAACGCCTTTCAGCCGCCAAACCAGTTGAATCAAAGGTTATATCGACCGTCATTCAATCTCATCAACTGTTCGCATCTCTTCACTTTTTTTCCAATATTTCCAATGTTGTCCAATGTAAATTCTCCAAAAGTTAAACTTGTTTAAAAACATTGACTGAAGGTCGATAGAAACAGTGTCTTCCAGCACCAATGAATGACAAACAAAATAATATGTCTATGACTGATGAGATGTGCAAGACAGGTTTTCCTAGTCACGCTCAAGACTATAGAACATCCAAATTCGCTAAGTAGCAGATAACAAGTTTTTTAGGATCCGACGAAAGTGCCGTGAACGGATACAATGACCAGCTGGAAAATGACGTTAGAGCTATTCGTTGGCTAATGAGTTAGTCATAAATTAATTGGGATAGCACCAGTTTAGCTACTCTCTGGAATTCAGTCTGGAGAGGGACAATTTTCTTATTTTCTCTGTGATGATGTGAGTTTTGTTTGGTAAAAAGTGGAACAGCTGACTTCAACAACATTGAGATCCATCAATTTTCTTCACAGGTCAGTTTTTTTTATCAACAAAAAATGCATTCGATGATTAGTGAAGGGCTTTCGCTGTAGTGATTGCAAGTTATTTTTGAAAGAGTGAGAATGGAGGGGGCGGGGATGGAGTTTAGTAGAGTGAGGCAAAATTTGCGCAGGAAGTTTTTGAAGCTTATTCTTCTCCCTGAGGCTTTTTCACAAAACTTGTTCATTGAACTAGGCAACTCTTCAAAAGCATTCTTTGATTTTTTTCAACCAATTTTGTTGATTGTGTTTTAAAAAAATCCAAAACAATTATCTGCATTTCATTGCTCAACAAAATCACGATAAGGCCGTTTTTTCGATTACTGCCATTTCGGACCAGAGCTTTTTGTTTCGCCAAGTTTATGACCCACCCGTGGGTCGTATCCCGAAATGGCAGTACCCGTATGACCCACCAGTGGGTCGTGAATATGTTAATAGGCGTTTTCTCCATATATTTGATGATTGGAAGATTTATAAAAAAAACAGATCAGGTGGACCTCTACTTCACTTCCAAGTCTCCCTGGTAAATTAGAAGTTCAAATGTCTATCAAAATATTATTTATCCTCCAAAATCCTTCTTTTTGCTGAACGCTTTTTTGCAATGAATAGCAAAATAAAACTGAATCTGAGAAAACCTTAAAAAAGAATTCATGAAGGAAAAAATAAACAGTGATATAAGGAAAAAGTAGTATTGACTCCCAAAACTTTCCTTAGCATGCGCGAAAAAAAAAAACAAATGGAAGCGCGGAATACCAAATGTGCATTTACGAATCTCAGTGATAGTGAATCATAATGCTGACATCAAGAGTGCTAGCTTTCAAAACTTTAGCCCATAGTTACGCACTATTTCTGACTCTCCCAGTGTAGAATGATATCAAGATTGCTGAAAAAAGAGACGATAAAACAGTTTGGAGTTGCAGAAACCAAACAATAATACGATGAAAGGTGAAGTTAAATTGGCTATCAAATTTGTGGGAAAAGATTGTCGTTTCTTGCTGGGATAACATAGACTGGTATGATAAAGATGACATTTTCTATAAAAAATAGAATGAGAAACACCGTTATTCTACTTGTTTAGTCTATTTTGTTTAACCTTTCTGCTATTCATGTGCTCTGGCGCACTATATGTGTACGTATATGTATCGTACTATATAGTAGAGCAAGTAAAAGAGATGTATAAATAAATGAATAAAAAGAAAGCGGCATAGCAAATCTCATTAACGTTATCATGATAACGGAGTTTTTGCTTTTTGACTCTGATCTAACCTTTGATTCAACTGGCTCGGCGGCTAGAAGGCGGGGCTTGGTGACCTAATTAGGGCCGCTCGCGCCCGCGACGCAGTCTGCGTCTCTCCCGCGAACGTGCTCTCTGGTCATTCTCTAGCCTTAACTGGATCACGAAGCCCCGCGTTCCAGGCGCCAAGCCAGTTGAATCATAGGATAAGTCTTCTTTGGAATTTTGTGCACATTTTTGCTCTCCTTTCATTTTGCGAAATTATGGAGCGTAGAATGCGCTAGGTGTATTACATCAATAAATAAATGAATAAGTGGTTGAATTAATAAAATTGAGCATCAAAATCGAATAAAGTAGAGGTGACAGCTGCATTCTTCAGATTTTTTCGAACCTACAAATCATAATCACTGGAATAAAACTTACACCGCATGGCTTTTTGAGTTCTAGGACCCATTTCTTGATTTCTCAGATTCCAAAATAATTTTAAAAAAAATCTTAGACTCAGTGTTCCAAATTCTGATTTTGGGAGCGCTTTCAGTTTTCGCTGTTAGATAAAATAACACAATTTTTCTACTATTTGTTTTATTCATTATTTTATTAAGTTTTATTAATTTTTTTGTACGGTGAACTGCGAATTTTAAGAATTATAGTCACCATACTTTCAACATTTTGTGAAATGTTTGTCCTAGAATACAAATTTCACAGAAAAAAGATAATTTGCCTGATGTGTGATCCCATTAATCTTCTCAACCTATTGTACTTACTAGTTCATTAATTACTATGTAAGACTACAAAAGTACAAATGTGGTACTTCTAATGAATTGGCCAGAAATAAAACATGAAAGTTAATCTGAGAGTGGCACAATTAGTACATTAATGGCTTTTTAAAGGCTCTAAATTCTAACTAAAAAAGGCTAGTAGCCTTTCTTTTGTAAACTGATAAGTGTAATGTGTTTGTTGTAATCGAAGCCATGTGATGGTGATCATGTGCGTCGACACACAATAAATTGGTGCGAAATAAATGCTATTAGCCCAAAAACAAAGTTAAGCTTCAATAAAAAAAATTTTGCAAGGTCTTGTCCTTTGCTCAGAATTTACGAGCGGACTTTTGCTAGGTTTCATCATGTTGTCAGCAGCAAAGTTCAATTGAAAATGAATCTCTAGTGCTGTGGTTGTCTATCAATACTTATTTTTTTATAAATACGCTCTTGCAATACAATTACTGAATACCTTATCGTTTTTGAATGATCAAAAGGATCTATACGTATAGGAGATGAAATATGAATCGCGGTTGGTCCATATTTTACACCGGAATTTTTGAAAAACGTGGCTTTCCTTCAGTTCCAACGACATTTAGTATGGGATAAAAGTTGAAAATTTACGAGCATATTAAACCGAATTTTTCATATTTTCAGAGCAAGACTCAAAGACCAGCCTTAAAAAGAGCTTTCATTTACTATTAGTGGATCAACAATGCTATAAAATTATATCACCCCTTGAAGAATTTTAAGACTAAAAAAGACAAAAATGAGAGTGAAAATCAAAGATCCTCTGATGTCGTTCTTTCCATTTGCAAAAAGTATCCTGCGCGCCGCTCTAGAAAATAGAAAAAGAATTCTTTGAGGACGGTACTGCGACATTTCCTCGAAAAAAGGAGTGCTTAAACACACTTTGATAAACGTTCTGTTGCGCAGACTA